CATTGTGTTCTCTCTCTTGTAGTATTTCACTTATATTCTTTGTATAGTGAAATAAATATTGGTGCAGTTGTTCTTTGGTGGACGTAGGATCATTTTGATCCGAACCACGTTAAATATTGTTGTTCTTCCTTGTTCTTTAGTTTCACGTTTCCTCTAACATGCTGTGTGGCTCAAGGTAGTGTTGTTCGTGTGCACGACTGGATGCTTGAAGAACACCCTATAACACATATTGTGCACAATAAGGTGAATGATGTTTGTTGGGTTGGTTCTGAAAGTATCGTGGTTAGCTCTGATGAAAGCTAGCTAGTGGAGGCATGGGGCTATTCAATGCATCAACAGGGTAGTTGAGGTATAAATTTCAAGTTACAGATAAATTGAGAACTTTAGCTCCATTTGTCATAGCAAGTACACTAGGTTTTGGATCAGATTACAAGCTGTTGTCGAGTTGTGATAGAACTGGAGATGACCATGGGATTGACATTTGGGATCTAGTCACAGGTAAGCAGATAGATCTCTTATGTACTCCTCCTGGTTGCTCACGTAAAAATGTAATGGTTACATAATACCAACCGTGTGATGGCTGTTTATTCCCATCCAAAGAGTGATATCTGCTTGTTTGACGTTAGAGAAAATGCTATTATTAGGTCGTTCGCTAAGAATTGCAACAAACTTTGCTCTAATGATATTGGTGATACAATAGCAATAGAGGAGAGTAGATCGATTTGTGTATTAGATTGGTTCGAGTGTTTTGGGTTTCTTGGATTCTAGGAGTACTGATGCGAGTGTAAATTGGAGAAACAAAAAGGGTCCTTCTTCTTGTTAGCATTTTCCTTAACTTGCATTTCACGGGGGCAATTGTTTTCATCAACTAACTGTAGTATTTCGTTATACTGTGGTTCTGATTGGCTTCCAACATCACAGCTTCTATGGAGTCCAAACCATCTCAATCTCTCTTTCTCATCTCATCCACCATGGATGTCACTCCACTTCATCCTGGATATCCTCATTCTCGATCAATATCCCTCCTATTATACCTACACATCCATCTCAACATTTTCATTTCTGCTACCGACATCTTCTAAACTTGGAGCTATTTATTGGCCAACACTCTACACCATACAACAAAGTCAGTCTAACCACCATTCTATAAAACTCACCTTTCAAGTTTTGGTGATACCTTCTTGTTACATAAGAGGTTGGATGGAAGCCAACACTTCATCCATTCCGCATAAATACAATATGTGACATCATCCTTAATCTCCATATTTGCTTGGATCAGAGACCCCATATACTTAAATCTATATATCTTGGGGGGTGACTTGAGTATCAAGTCTCATTTCACGACTTCCTTTTCACTAAATTTACACTCCAACTACTTTATCTTGGTTCTGTTCAATTTGAACCCTTAAGATTCAAGATTTTGTCTCCACGCCTCCAATCTATTGCTAACCCGTCACGAGATTCATTGACCAAAACAATGCCATTTGCAAATAACAAACACCAAGGCATCTCGCCCTGAATATGCCACATCAATTTATCCATCCCTAGACAAATAGAAACAGGTCGCAGATCCCCGGTGCAACCTCGTCTTAATTGGAAAATGCTCTGAATCTCCTCCCGTTGTTCTTACCCAATTCTTCATTTCATCATACATGCCTTTTATCGCCCTAATATATGCCACAACTACACCTTTAGACCCCAAACATTGCCAATGGACTTCTATTGGAACTTTACCATAGGTTTTTTCAAGGTCAGTGACTTTATTAGTTGAACGTCCCGACACTAATCCAAAATGGTTCTCGAAAATGGACTCGTTCCTCCTCACCCTTATCCCCACCATCCTCTTCCAAACTTTCAATGTAAATTATACCCATGGTTAGAACATTCGTTATAGTATCAATATAGTTCAACGTGTGATAGTAAATTAAATATCATTTTGTCAGGTTATTAATAGTAATAATCATCAATAGAAATTTAAGTATACTTACCATATAAACAGTAAATAATTATTAGTACCTCTAGGCCCCAACATGAATAGTATTGGATCTAAAAGCCTTAAATGACAGGAATGCCATCACCATTTTTGTTTTTAAAAAGTTAGGTCTACGCTATCGCAATATTATTCTATGAAAATTTAGTCACCGGGGAAGCAGCATACCGAAGAAAGAGGAAGCAAGAAATAGGTATGACGAAATCCAGAATCTTATCTACTTGTTATAATTAAAAGAAATTCACCCAATTATTTTTCTGTTTACAAATCCTACTTGGAATAAGATACAATAAATTATTTTCTAATTTACTAACCCTAAATGAAATAGTTAAAATAAAATCATTTCTAATAACACGGGTAGTCTGGTGTTGGAGTACTTTACGAGAAAGAGTCAAAAGGATTAAGGTACAAGGGCAGCCAGTAGTCTGTTTTTGGAGTAATTTTACGAGAAAGAGTAAGGATTTGACGTATAATGACAGTGGTAGTCTAGTGTTAGAGTACATTTAAAAGAAAGAGTTAAGGATTCATTATAAGGGTCGTAGGTAGTCTGGTGTTAGAGTACTTTTACTAGAAAGAGTGATGGATCGATGGATAAGGGCAGTAGATAATATGACCAGTATTGGAGTACTTTTACGATAAAGAGCCAATGACTAAGGTAGAAGGGCAAAAGGTAGTATGGTGTTGGAGTGCTTTTACTAGAAAGAGTCAAAATGATTAAGGTAGAAGGGCAGTAGGTAGTCAAGTATTGGTGTACTTTTACGAGAAAGTGTCTAGGATTAAGGTAGTTGGACAATAGGTAGTCTAGTGTTGAGTATTTTTACGCGAAAGAGACAAGGATTTTAAGGTAAAAGGTAAGTGTTATTTTTAGTTTTGATTATTTGACTTCTAAGGTGTGCCTATCATTTATAAGGTTCTTCTCAATAAACACAACCTCATCAACAGGGACCTGATAGAGCTGTTAGCGCTTTAGCTGTCGTAGGGTTTATATTTCAGTTCTTATCATTGTAGATCTGTTCCTGTGCTAAAAGGGAACTAAATGAGTGTCTCATTTCAGTGCAAAAGTCTAAATAAATTAGAGTTAATTGGTTTAGTGGGAAACAGAGTTGTTGCTTAGTAAGAGTTGAAGTCTAAATCATCTAGAGTTAGGTGGTTTAGTAGGCAATAGAGTTATTGTTTAGTTCTTCTTTGTAGTAGAGTTGCTACATTAAAGGGAATTTATTTAGAGTTAAATTCCTACGTCGCAAGGGTTTAAAATCTGAATAATCGCTCCTTTTAGAGTTAAATGAAGTTGGTTGAAATCCTGTGAGTATAGGTCGTGATTTTTACTGCCCTTGAGCAAGGGGGTTTCCACGTAAACTGCTTGTGATATTTACTTTATTGCTTATACTTATTATTATTGTTCTTGTTGTGTCAAGGGACTTGGTCCATTGACGAATAGTTGATGCTTACATCTTAACACTGATGTCAGTAGGTAGTCTGGTGTTGGAGTACCTTTACGATAAAGAGCCAAGAACTAATGGTAGAAGGGTAAAGGCTAGTATGATGTTGGAGTACATTTACGTGAAAGAGTTAAAGATAAGAGTGGAAGAGCAATAGGTGGTCTGGTGTCGGAGTACTTTTACTAGCAAGAGTGGATTAAGGTAGAGGGCAATAGGTAGTCTGCAGGGCCGTCTTAACCCCTAGGCGACTAAAGTCATCGCTTGGGCCCCCATGTATTTTAGAGGCCCCATTTTAAAAAATTTATATGTTTTTTTTAAAAAAAATTATATGTACAATGAGTGTTATGATTTGTACTAAGGAAATTGCATATGAGAAGATAACAAACTTGAATTTCATAAGAAACAATTTGATGAAAATATGGATAGGAAAATCACAAAGTCCTTTGAAGAAACTTTTAGAGATGATTTCTTTATATATGTAGAGTAGATCAAACTATATTTTCAATTCAAAATAGATTTGAACCAATTGAAGCATATCGAAAAAAAATTAATTTCTTATTTAGTGGTAAAATATTGAGATTACTAAATGATGAGAATTTAGAAAATATTGTCTTAACCTTGAACTTTCTTTCACACGTAATAGTTATTCCGATATTAATGGTTTAGATTTATTTTTTGAATTAAAAGTGTTAAGGAAAATAATACAATTAGAAAATAATGATCTAATGAAAATACTCAATCAAATAAAAAGACTTGATTCTTTTCCAAGTACACATATTGCTTATAGAATAATTCTTTTCCAAATACACATATTGCTAATAGAATAACAGTTCTCGTGACTGTTGCCTTAGCCGAAAGAAGTTTTTTTTCAAAAATAAAATTGATTAAATCTTCTTTAAGATTAGCAATGTCATAAGGTTTCGCTTTAGGCCCCCAATGTTGTTGAGTCGGCCCTAGTAGTCTGGTGTTGGAGTACTTTCACGAGAAAAAGTCAAAAGAATTAAAGTAGAACGATAGTTGGTAGTATGGTGTTGTAGTACTTTTACGAGAAAGAGTCAAGGATTGAGGTAGAAGAGCATTAGGTAGTCTGGTGTTGTAGTACTTTTACGAAAAAGAGTCAAAAGGATTAAGGTAGAAGGACAGTAGGTAGTCTGGTGTTGAAGTACTTTTACAAGAATGAGTCGAAGATTAAGGTAGAAGGCTAGTAGGTAGCTTGATGTTGGAGTACTTTTAAGTGGAGTTGGTCTCATCTTCTCCTTATATAGACATAGCCTTACCTATTTTTCAAATAGTATCTTATCCTATAATTTTATTACTACCTGTCATTTCATTTGCTTTGTTTATCTTGCTATTTTGCTGCAGTTATTTTCTTGTTTATCTTACTTTGGTTAATCTTACTTGAGTCTGGCTTTATCTAAAACAACCTATGTACCCCACAAAGGTAAAAAAAGTAAGGTCTGTGTATATCTTAACACTCTCTAGACCCCTCTTGTGCGATTAGAATGTGTAAGTTGTTGCATCTCTTACATAAGTAATAGTTTGAATTTCAGGGTACGACACACTTTTGAAGAATGGAAAGCCAAAAAAACAGAGTAAAACTCAATGTTGGGGGAAAAAAGTTTGAAACTACGGCCACCACCTTAGCGAGTGGTGGGAGGACTTCATTTTTTGGAGCCATGTTTAATGACGATTGGAACCTGCATTCCGATGGGTCGATCACTGAAATTTTCATCGATAGAAATCCTGAGTATTTTGGTGTCCTTTTGGACTTACTCAGAACAGGGGAGCTATATATTCCTCCAAAGATCGATAAAAAGCACCTATACAGAGAGGCTCTGTATTATGGCATTGAGGATCATTTAAGGTTAGCTAAATGGGGCCCCTTTGATGGCAATAGGCTCCGGTTGGCTGAGTCTATAAAGGGCCCAACAAAAGGGAAGGCTGAAAAAATTCGGGCTAGCCCGAATAGCTGGTGCTGTGTGGTACGTGATAATATTGTCAGCGTGTACAATTGGATGCTAGAAGAGAAAACTACAATAACCACTCGTGATTATCGTAGGGTCAACGATGTTTGTTGGGTTAATTCAGATAACATTGCGGTTAGTAGTTCTGACAAGTACCTAGCTAGTGAAGGCATAGGGTTGTTCACTGCATCTACAGGGGAATTGAAGTATAATTTTCAAGTTAAAGATGAAGATCAATTGAAGGATTACACTGCAGGTGCACTCGGTGTTGGCTCGGATTACAAGTTGTTCTCCAGTTGTACTGAGATCACCAACAAAAAGAACGGGATCGCTGTTTGGGACCAAATCACAGGTAAGCAGACAGATTTCTTGCAATACTTGCCATATAGCAAGGCTACCAAGCTTCAGTGGTTACAAGGTACCAATTGTTTGATGGCCGCTACTTGTCATTTGGAGTCAAAATGTTCCATCAACTTGTTTGATTTTAGGCAAAATACGAAGGCTTTGTCGTGGTCTGATGCTACGGATCAAAGAATGTATAAAGACGCCTACGGATCAAAGAATGTATAAAGACGCGATAGCTATAGAGGAGAGAAATTCCATTTGTATAGTAGATTCACATGAGAATTTGGGCTTCATGGATTTGAGGAGTACTACAAGTAGTATAGAATGGAGGAGTACTACGAGGGACAACATATATAATCCTTATCCGAAACTGGCATTTCATGAGGGACAATTGTTCGCATCATTAGAGCATACAATTTCAGTTTATTGTGGTCCTGATTGGGTTCCAACATCACAGCTTCAACCGAGTCATGGTGGTTTGATTTGGGATTTGTCAATTGGCGGTGATCGTCTTTTTGCCCTTTACTGGAACATAGATATGTTTGATGTATGGGAAACCCCTCGTCCCTAGTATATGCATATGCAATCGGGTGAACGACTATTTAAGTTATCTCTTCTTCATTAGTACTTTGATTTTCTATGTAACTTTATTTGATTATGCAACAAAACTATGACTGATTGTGAATTATTGAAAACTTGTATTAGGCTTGAATGAGTGTTTGGGTTTCTTGGATTTTAGAAGGACTAATACGAGTGTAAATTGGAGATATAAGAAAGATTCTTCGTCAGATATGTGTTTTCCTAAACTAGTATTTCACGAGGGGCAATTGTTTTCATCATTGAACAATAGTATATCGGTATATTCTGGTTCTGACTGGCTTCCAACATCACAGCTTCGAAAGAGTCCTGGTGGTCCGATTTGTGATTTTTTCAATTGGTGGTACCAACTTTTCGCTCTTCATAAAGATGAAAATGTCATTGATTTATGGGAGACCCCTCGTCCACCAGTTATATGAATCTAGTTTGTCAGAATTCGTTGATCAAGACACTATATCTGTTGATTATAGAACAGAATTAAGTTGCAAACGTCATGTACTATGTTCTTGAATGGTACTTCTACATATATTGATTGAGTAACATTATTAATTATTTTTTTACGTATAAAAAACACTGCATGGACTAATTTTTTTCAACAATCACGAGTGAATTTGTGTCCAGATTGCTACTCGTTATTTGATTTCTTCTAAGTCAGGTAAAAATAAATATTTCTTCAACTCTCCCTTTTATTGTTGGCACTAGATTTATTTTTTTCGAATATCGAGGACATGACCTTAGATAACTCAGTTTGAAAGTCGTGTATAAGAGTAGAACGTTAGTTGGTAGTTGAACATAGTGGTATAGGTATGTACTCTCTTACCGGTAGTATTACATTATTCCCGTAGTTGCTTATTTATGGCATAATACATATATTAGACCCTAAACTTGGCTACAAATTTTAATTTTGACCTCCAACTTTCATAGTGCACAAACAGACATTTTAACTACCCAACCTTTTAATAAATAAACACGCGAGACTTACTTGGCAAAACGCGTGATGTGCACGTATTTTGCGCAAGTGAGGTGTAATTTGTGAGGCCCAAAACGGAAAAAAAATATTGAAATGACAACTCTACCCTTAATGAATTCCTTTTATATATATTTTTATATTTCCAAATCAAAATCTCATTTTAATTTTTTTTAGTTTTAAAATGACATGCATATTTAATTAGTTGACAGTCATTGAGTGGGCTCATTAATATACGTAGGGACGTTTGCATTTCACTCTCTTTGGCTCCAAAAATCGCGTATTTATTTATTTAAAGGTAGGATAGTTAAAGTGTCTGTTTGTGCACTGTGAAAGTTGGAGGTGAAAGTTAAAATTTGAAGCCAAGTTTAGGGTCCAATATATGTATTACTTATTTATCGATGTTGTTGTCATTGTGTTTCGTGTGTTTCAATATTCTCACTAGTTCGTTGTTATTGTTCTTTTTATGTGTGCTATATGTATTGTTTTCCATGGTTCTATATTTCATTGTTGTTAGTATTATTCTCTTTCTCAAATTGCTTTGAAACGCTTTACTTGAATCGAGGGTTGGAAACAACGACCTCCCTATCTTTATAAGGTAGGGGCAAGGTCTATCCTCCGCAAACCTCACTCACTTGTGAGATTATACTGGGTAAGTTGTTATAGAAATTCTTCTCTAAAGTAGGTTGTCTAACTCCATTTGCCACAGCAAGTACACTAGATTTTGCCTCAGATTATAAGTTGTTCTCGAGTTGTGAAAACAGTGATAAACACCATGGGATTGGCAATTGTTTTCATCATTTGACAATAGAATTTCGCAATGCATTCTGGTTCTGATTGGCTTCAAACATCACAGCTTAGACATTGTGATTCTGGTCCAATTCATGATTATTCAGTTGGTGGTAACCGTCTTTTCTCTCTGCAAAGTACAGTAAATATTATAAATGTATGGGAGACCCCTCTTCCACCAATTATACAAAAATTTAGAATGTTAGAGTTGGTTGATCAACAACTCCATAGCCGATATTCAGTTTACAACATCAAACTTCTGCATATTTCATTCATGTATCTTTAGTTTGTGTAAGTCTAAAGTGTGGTCTGAAGTAAAAAATTCACCGTTTTTTGTGCACAATGGGTATTACCTCAATGGTTGCCCCAAAATCGGGTATATCATCCCCGTAAATGTATAACCTTTAGCTCTTACTTTGATACCAATAATTTGAGACATCCCTTTACATTCCTTACAGTTGAAATATGGGGAAAATAAATTATGGAAAAACTAAACAGACACTAAAAAACTCTTTGCATGCTCTCTTTGGGAATTGATATAGACTGACACTGATGCCTTTTGAAGGTCTTTATATACCATACATTTTCAGCAAAAGTTCAACTTCATTTTAGTAGTTTTTGGGTAGTTTTGAATAATGGGAACTCCGAAAGGTAAGGTGAAACTCAATGTTGGTGGCAGAATATTCGAAACTACAGCCACAACCTTAGAATTTTCTGGCCAAAATTCACTCTTTCGAGCCATGTTAGATGAGAATTGGAACCTGCATTCTGATTCAGCCATCACTGAACACTTCATCGATAGGGACCCTGATTATTTTGCCGTCCTTCTTAACCTTCTCAGGACAGGAGAGCTATATATTCCTCCAAATATAAATAAAAAGCTCGTATACAAAGAGGCTGAATATTATGGCATTCTGGATCATGTCAGGTCAGCTGAGTGTGATAAATTTGATGGCAATAGGCCTCGGTTGGCACGGTCCATAACAGGCTGGTCAGTAAGGGATGGGGGGATATCTCGGGCCATCGAAGCCAGCTCAAATGGCTGGTGCTGTGTGGCTCATGGTAGTGTGGTTCACGTGTACGACTGGATGCTAGAAGAACGTCCTACAATCAATCTTGATTACCATAAGGTAAACAATCTTTGTTGGATTGATTCTGAAAATATTGTGGTTAGCTCTGAAGAAAATCTAGATAGTGGAGGCATGGGGTTATTCAATGCTTCAACAGGGGAATTGAAATATAAATTTCAAGTTACAGATGTATTAGAAGATTATACAGCAGGTGCACTCAGTGTTAGCTCGGATAACAAGCTGTTTTCCAGTTGTACTAAGAGTACTAGCAATAAACATGGGATCGGTGTTTGGGACCAAGTTACAGATAAGCAAATAGATTTCCTCGATAGGCCACCATACAAGTATCAACACAATGCTAGCAAGCTGCAATGGTTGCATGATACCAAATGTTTGATGGTTGCTGGTTTCCATCCAAGGAGTAATATCATCTTGTATGATGTTAGGAATGACAAGATGGTATGGTCTAAGCCTGGTGTCTACGCGAGCAGCTGTTATGACATTGCTCGTGAGGAACTTTTTAGAGATGTGATTGCGATAGAGGAGAGTTGTTCAATTTGTTTAGCAGATTGGAACGAATGTCTCGGTTTCATGGATTTGAGGAGTAATGGAACAATATATTGGAGAAATTCTGTCAAGGGTGTCCAGCCTTTTTGTAACTGGGGGACTGGAAATTACTCTTGTTATCCCAAACTGGCATTTCACGAGGGGCAATTGTTTTCATCATTGAACGATACCATTACCGTTTATTCTGGTTCTGATTGGGTTCCAACATCGCAGTTTCATCAGAAACACGGTGGTCCAATTTGGGATTTTTCAATTGGTGGTGACCGCCTTTTTTCTCTTCATAGAAATGAAGATGTTCTTGATGTATGGGAAACCCCTCGCATGACATGAATCTATATCATAGTTCGGTTTTTGATTTTGTTATTTATTTACCTATTTACAATATATTGTTAGAGCTGTTGGTACCCCTTTTTTGAACGGTCAAAGTGAAGTTCTATATGTTAATGTTGGTAAATCTTGATGTAAACACCGTGTGTGGGTAAGTTTTTATCGTTAATCTTCTCAAGATCCTTCGAATAAAGTAAATTATAACTTTCTTTAAAAACATATACATCCAAACAGCTCTTTTAGATCTCTGGTGCATCAAAGGTTAATTATTTATGTAGCATTTTCATTTTACTCTCTGCATATGTTAAGCTTTTTGCTTCTCGCGATGAGTACTAAACCTTGTTGTAACATATTGACATTTCATGAGGGGTAACTGTTTTCATCAATGGATGATTGAACTTCTATTAATTCTGGTTCTGATTAGTGAAAGGACAATAATTAACAGCTCATTCATAATCTTATAGACTCAACCACACGACAAATAGACACAGGCGTATGGCTAAACGCTACTGAAAACAAATCCCAATCTATTCAAATCAGTAACTCCAACAAACAAAAGGCTTGATCGCTAAATTTAATAGTCTGAATCTCAAATTTTAGTGACAACCTTTTTACATTCCTTACATTGAATCATGGAGAAACTAAATAGACACCAAAACTCTTTGTATGCCAAATGACTAATATAAATGATATATACTATAGTTTTAGCATCATGTAGAGATGTAGGCAATAAATGCAGTACTAAAAATCTTTGATAGAATTTTGAAAAATGTTTGTGTGTTCAAGCTCGATTTTCCTCAACCAAATTTCAATTTTTTGACAATGATATTGAAACTAATCTTTTTAAAAAATACGCTATGTGTAGATATTTAAAAATGTGTGCATATCAATTATTTTAAGGGAAAAGGGTCTGATATACCCCTCAACTTTGTCATTTAGAGCTGATATACCCCTCGTTATAAAAATGGCTCATATATACCCCTATTTGTAAATAAATGACTCACATATACCCTTTTCCTCTAACGGAAATGAAAAAAATAATATTTTTAATCTAAATTTTTATTATTTTTTTCTAAAAAATATAATCCCATATGAGTAAATTTAATACTTGTCAAACATATTTTTTTAACTTTTTTTTGTTTCAGTGATTAATTTATAATTATTATTTTGATAATCAAATTTATTAATGTTTCCCGAATATTCTTGTAAAACTTATTGTAGATGACCAAATTTTTTTCTTCGAATACGAAATTAAATTACAATACACACACACAAAAATAGTTTAAATTTTTTTTCTTTAAACTAAGGAATTAAAGAAAAAAAAACAAAATAAGAATAAGAAACTCTAATAATTATAATAAAAGAAGTCAAAAAATAATTGATGTATGAAAAAAATTAAAATATACCTTTAACTTTGATAGAAGAATCATATATACCCCTGAATAAATTTTTTAAAAAAATTAGAAGTAACAAATATAAATTTAAAACTAATTTTTTAACTTCCGTTAAATGAAGGGTATTATATGTGCCATTTTGTAACGGCAGGGGTATATGTGAGCCGTTTGTATAACGGTAAGGGCATATATGAGTCACTTCTATAACGAGGGGTATATCAGCTCTAAATGAAAAAATTGAGGGGCATATCAGACTCTTTTCCCTTATTTTAAAGAATATTACAAGCGGTTAACCTTGCATTAGTTGTTTTATACTTCTATGCTTTTATTAGGACATCACATGGTATAACAGATTAATTGGCTTCATCTTTAATTAGAATGTTCAAATTCAAATCAAAAACCTTGTGGAACATCATTATCGTAAAATTTAATTTTAAATTGTACATAAATATATGACTTTCAAAATTATTACAGTGCTTCCATAATGTTCTATTAATGTATTGTGGAGTTCTAAATGATAAAATTTTGTATATATTTTTTATGTGTAGCTAAAACTTAATTAAATCAACAATTTCATCTTGTATTCAGTTGTTTCGTGTGCACTAACTAGTTTACTTCCCTAATTCCATTTTGAACTATTGCAAAAAGTATTTTCATGCTCATTAAAAAGTGTAGTTCAATAATTTTATCACTATAATATAAAAGTAGATTGTTTGAATTATCATATATTTGTGATTTTTCATAGTGAAAAATAATTATAATTTTAAATTAAGTATTTGAAGTGACAATTTAAAAAAAAATTAGAAAAATTGTTAATTTGAGATGAAAATAGTATACTTATCCATAATATATTTTTGGGAAAAGGGTCTGATATACCCCTCAACTTTGTCATTTGGAGCTGATATACCCCTCGTTATAAAAGTGGCTCATATATGCCCTTATTGTTATACAAACGGCTCACATGTACCCCTGCCGTTACAAAATGACTGACATATACCCTTCATTTAATGGAAGCTAAAAAATTAGTTTTAAATTTATATTTATTACTTCTAATTTTTTTAAAAAAATTATTTAGGGGTATATATGATTCTTCTATCAAAGTTCAAGGTATATTTTAATTTTTTTCATACATAAATTATTTTTTGACTTCTCTTATTATAATTATTTGAACTTCTTATTTTATTTTATTTTTTTCTTTCATTCCTTAGATTAAAGAATAAAAAATTAAACTATTTTTTTGTGTCTATTGTAATTTAATGTCATATTCGAAGAAAAATTTGATCATCTACAATAAGTTTTACAAGAATATTAGTGAAACATAAATAAATTTGATTATCAAAATAATAATTATAAATTAGTCATTGAAACAAAAAAAAAGTCAAAAAAAATATGTTTGACGAGGATTAAATTTACTTATATGGGATTATATTTTTTAGAAAAAAATAATAAAAATTTAGATTGACAATTATTATTTTTTCATTTCCGTTAAGGAAAAGGGTATATGTGAGTCATTTGTTTACAAGTAGGGGTATATATGAGCCACTTTGATAACAAGGGGTATATCAGCTCTAAATGACAAAGTTGAGGGATATATCAAACCCTTTTCCTTATATTTTTAGATGTTATATTACTTACAAAATACTTCACCTATTAAAGACTTAATTAATAATCTCATATAATATAATTTTTGAAATTACATATTTAAAGTGATGATTTCCTTTAAAACAAAATAGAAAATTATTAATTCGAATAAAAATAGTAACTTATCAATAATATGTTTTTAAATGTTATATCATATTAGAAAAATAATTGAAACAATAAAGACTTAATTAATGGCTCAATAGAAATGATACTAAAATAATAAAATAGAGAGGTAAATATTATATATTATTTTCCCACACGGCTATTTATGTTAATTTATCGATTTTCTAAAAAAAAAAAAATTAGACAATTTTCCCGGTAAAAATTGTGTATTTTCTTGTAAAACAGTTAAAGTTGTTAATAGTAGTTGATCCTTCAACTTGTACTGTAAGCTTCTCCTTTTTTCTTTTCTTGTGTATGAAGAAAAAAAAATACTTAAAAATCGATCAATACGAATCGAATTTCCTCTTCACATTTACGGAGAAACTTATATAAATTATCGAAATTGATTCAATAAAGCATAAAGTTGTGTTAATTGAAAAGGAATTATACGAAGGCGCTGTTTTATTCAGTAACCATTAACAATGGCGTTGTTTCGGAAATTGTTCTATCGGAAACCACCGGATGGACTGCTTGAGATCGGCGGTGACAGAGTTTACGGTTCGTTTTCCCCTTTTTTCGTTTTTTTTCAAAAAAAATTATGTTTCGTTGTTGCGATCGAGCTAGATGATTACTACTAAATTTGATTAATTCGGAGTTATAAATTGTTAATTTTTCTTTATTTGTTCGGATTTCAACTTGAATTTTCTAATTTTACTGTGGAAAATTGGAACTGTAGAAGTGATCATTAACTGTTTGCTTGTTGAGATCAAGCTGGATAAATACTTCTCCGATTGCTGAATTTGATTTGTTTGTTCGTATTTCGATTTGTTGTATGGCGATAAATTATTTGTTCAGATTTTAATTTGAATGTCGAATTTTTGCTGTGGAAAATGGGAACTGTAGATGTGATTATCTGTTAGAGAATTTTCTCTCTCTCAGTTGACTTATTGCTCAATTAACTCTTTACTTTATTGAGATTGAGCTGGATGAGTACTTCTCTAATCACTAAATTTGATTTGTTTGATCGTATTTCGATTTGTTTGTTTGAAGACAAACAAGTGCTAATTTGCTTTATTTGTTTGGATTTTTAACTTTACTGTCTAACTCCAGTGTAGAAACGGAATTTGATCATTCTTTTGTGCATTTTGTCACTTTGTTTGGATGATTGTTATGTACTGTTTTATAATGTATCGTATTGAGTTGTATTGTGTTGTATTGCTATCGTGCTAAATTGCTTTAACAAATATAATGTTTTGATAGATTATATCGTTCTCCGTCTTTAAAACATACAAGAAATGTAGGGTATGAGGTAGAGCTACTATGACGGAACTCATTCATATATGAAATGAAGTAGATTACTATGAAATATTTGCCTGCTGCATATAACAGTTTAGCTAATAGGTGCATCTGTTGTTATTTGCAGTATTTGATAGGTGTTTCTCTACTGATGTTTGGGAAGAGAAAAATTACAAAGGCTATGTAGCAAGCGTAATTACGCAACTTCGGGATCATTACCCTGACGTGTCAATTTTGGCTTTCAATTTTCGGGAGGGTGAGTCAGAAAGCCTGATTGCAAACGATCTTTCCGAGCATGATGTGACCATAATGGATTACCCTCGACATTATGAAGGATGCCCTTTGCTCTCTATGGAGATGATAAACCATTTTCTTAGATCCAGTGAAAGTTGGCTCTCCCTTGGGCAGCAAAATGTGCTCCTATTACACTGTGAATGGGGTGGTTGGCCAGTTTTGGCGTTTATGTCGGCTGCATTGTTGATATATAGACGACACTCCAACGGAGAACAGAAGACCTTAGACATGATTTATAAGCAGGCTCCTCATGATCTTTTACAAATGCAACCTCTA